TGTCCTGGACAGAAGGGTGGGCCTGAGGTGGAGACCAGCAGGTCATTTTGACCAAACCCAAGTCGGAATGGTGAGTCCACATCCTGACACTGCAGTGTGACCACAGTGTGTCCACAGTTGTTTAGCGTCTGAGCATGATGCACGTTCACCAAGGATGATTTGAGTCCATAGACACGTGCCAAGGAATGTTTGGGGATGGTGGTGTGGCTGCTGCAGGCGTTGACCCGGGTCTCGTTTGCTCTCAGGCGGACCTGTGCACGGGGCTGCAGGGCTTCCTCATCTTCCACAGCTTCGGGGGCGGCACCGGCTCCGGGTTTGCATCTCTGCTCATGGAGCGGCTGTCGGTGGACTATGGCAAGAAGTCCAAGCTGGAATTTGCCATTTACCCGGCCCCCCAGGTGTCCACGGCCGTGGTGGAGCCCTACAACTCCATCCTGACCACCCACACGACCCTGGAGCATTCCGACTGTGCCTTCATGGTGGACAACGAAGCCATCTATGACATATGTCGGCGCAACCTGGACATCGAACGGCCCACCTACACCAACCTCAATCGTCTCATCGGGCAGATCGTGTCCTCCATCACAGCTTCCCTGCGCTTCGATGGGGCCTTGAACGTGGACTTGACGGAATTCCAGACCAACCTGGTCCCATACCCTCGCATCCACTTTCCCCTGGCCACCTATGCCCCAGTCATCTCAGCAGAGAAGGCCTATCACGAGCAGCTGTCTGTGGCTGAGATCACCAATGCCTGCTTCGAGCCGGCCAACCAAATGGTCAAATGTGACCCTCGCCATGGCAAGTACATGGCCTGCTGCATGTTGTACAGGGGTGACGTGGTTCCCAAAGACGTCAACGCGGCCATCGCCACCATCAAGACCAAGCGCACCATCCAGTTTGTGGACTGGTGCCCAACTGGGTTTAAGGTAGGACTGGGTGACATTGGGGGGTTTTCCCTGTTGGCAAGCAGCAGACCTGCCATAGAAGGCTTCCCCTTTGTGGAGAATACCTGTTTTTCCATGTCAGCTCAGTGCAGGAGGAATAACCTTAGTAATTAATTTGCTAAGTGCCTTATTCTTCAAAGTGTTTTATGTGCCCTGTTGCTTACAACCACTTTGTAATATCCATGGGACATACTAATATTTTATGATGTGGAAACAGACTGAAAGAGCTTTCGTATATAAAAATTTCACGGGCACAATGATAGGAAAGCATTAAGGGAGGGTCTACTGTAAAGCAGTCTATCTACATTTCTCCATTGCTCATCTAAAAAGTTTGTGAGCTCTGTGGTATGTTTAGTATATTAGAAATAGTGTTTCTTAACTTAAGTCAATTGTCATTGCATTTTAGGCAGCATCTACATTCTTGTAAATAGAATTTTAAATTCATTCTGCTGTTGAGGTGGTGGTGGTGGCAAAGGATGGTGCATTGCCGTCCTCCAAACCAGACTGGGAATACTGCCTCAAATGCAAAATCACTTTGTAATTAGGTGGCTCCTTCAAGCATGTTTAGTGACAGAATGAAATGTCCACCAGAGGAAAGCCGCACATGTACTTAGACGCCAAATAATAGAATATCCAGCCTGGGCCTATTATTACCAGTGAAGTGCCCCTCTGTGTCTGGGTTTGTTAACTTTGTGCCTTATTTTTTGTTTTTGAACAAAGGTGTGACTCACCACATTAAAGGCTAGTGAGTGTCTAAGGAGTTTAAAAAAAAAAAAAAAACAAACCCAGTTATAATTCCAGATGAAAAGAGAAGTAGCAGAAATTGTGAGTCTTTTTCCCATTTGGAATGACTCTACCTCTGACTACACAAAAATTTTTAAGCCCATCTGGCCCTTAGTCGGCCCCGTTTTAAGACATCTTGATGGATCAGATTGACAAATTTAAAGTGACTTAGAAAAGTGTAAAATGGGGCCTCCCCGGTGGGTGGCGCAGCGGTTGAGCGCTGGGTTGCGAAGCTGCGCGCGGCCTCTGCGGCGCCGGTTCGATCCCCGGCTGCTCCCCGGCCACCAGAGGAGGGTCCCACATGGCGCGCAGACCTCTCCTGCAGCCCGCTGCTCCCCTCAGCAGTGTACTTCGGTCCTTCTGCCTGCTCTGCTCCCCACTCTGGCTCTGGTGAATTCTCTCACCCTCCCACACTTCTGACTGTACCCAGTGCATGTATAAACAAAACAAACAAACAAACCAGCAAACAAATAAATAAAGCATGCCTCTATAAAAAAAAAAAAAAATTAAAAAAAAAAAAAAAAAAAAAAAAAAAAAGAAAAGTGTAAAATGCACGACAGTTTTCACCAGATTTGTGAACATCCATTAAATCTTACATTTGTAAACATTGTAGGTTATTGGTTGGAATTGAAACCTTCATTCCCTATGTCTAGTTATCGTGCTCTTGACTTGAGCAGAGCAAATTTTCTCGGTCACAGTTGACCTCTGGAAGGTTAAGACATACAAGCAGCCTCTGGGAGGTACTGTGAGAGGTGCTGTGCCTTGTGTCCAGGTCTCCTCTTCTGAGTCTCTTGTGCTTCTGAGCCAGCAGGGAGGCCGCTCTGTTGGAGACAGTGAAATTGCCGTTTCTACTGTCCCCACAGCAGACAGTCCAGCCTGGAGGACCATGTTGAATTTTCACTTCTCCTAGTGTGACTTCCCCATCTCTTTGCTCGGGGATAGCATTGAAAGTAAAAGACTGGAAAACTAAAAGCCTCTTCCCCTTCCCCCGGGGTGTTTGTGCTTAAAGAGATACTCTGTACATATTCATGGTATATTGTGCTGCTTGTTTTATGGATGATATTGACAGAAAGAGGCCAGCAAGATGAGCAAAGGATGCACACGCCTTTCATGAAGGTGACAGACTGCAATCAGTGTGCACAGGTGGCCAAAGAGAAGAGGGAGCTGGCAGCACTCCCAATGGGAGAAGCCAGCTGGCCTGGCTTTAGAGCTGTGGGAGGGCAGGGTGAGAAACCCCTCTCCTTCTTTCTGCCCCTCCCAACTCTTCTGGGGGCTGCCTCTGTGCCTGACTCTTGCTAATAGCTATCTGCTCCAAAGGAAAGAGATGAAGAGACTCAGTGCACTCCCAGATGTTTGTCCATCTCCCTGAGGCTCTCTACTCTTTGCTACTCTACAGATGTTTTTAAATGTAAATCTTCACATAGAACTCAGCTAGCTTTTCTTTTTAAGTATACAGTATCCTTTGAACATATACTAGATAGATTTCCTGTTCTTTTGCATGATCACACATGTAGTGTTTCATTGTGTAGGTGTATAATTTAACTAGCTCCCCACGATGGATATTTGTTTCCATTTTTGCCATTTCAATGTTTTAACCTAAATACATAAAAATCTTTATACATGTAGCTTTGTGCTCTTAATTGGGTAAATTCCAAAAGTGAAAACAGAGGTCAAAGGATATTAAACGTTAATAGGTACTACCAAAAAATAAATACTAGTTTCTAAGGGCATCATTTAATCTTGGTCCACAGCTTGTTTTTAAAAATAAGCCACCACGTCTGAGGCCAGAACGTAAACTTCAGTCTTACGTTCTTTTCTCCGGCAGGTGGGCATCAACTACCAGCCCCCCACCGTTGTCCCTGGGGGAGACCTGGCCAAGGTGCAGCGGGCTGTGTGCATGCTGAGCAACACCACTGCCATCGCTGAGGCCTGGGCCCGCCTGGACCACAAGTTTGATCTCATGTATGCCAAGCGAGCCTTTGTGCACTGGTACGTGGGAGAAGGCATGGAGGAAGGGGAGTTTTCCGAGGCCCGGGAGGACCTGGCAGCTCTGGAGAAAGATTATGAAGAGGTGGGCGTCGATTCCGTGGAAGCAGAGGCCGAAGAAGGGGAAGAATACTGAAGGGAAGAATGTGTCTGGCAGCTGATCTTATTCCACTCTCTTGCCACCCCTTGGCATGGTTGCTTTCAAATTGTTCACCATTAAAGTTTCTGTACTAAACTACACACAGAATAAATCCTCAATCTTTCTGCCTTCATATATTCAAAAGGTAAAAGAAACCATCTTTAACGGGACACTCAGTTTTTCACAAAGCTTAATTACTAGTTGAAGGAAACATGTAGCCTCCACTAGAAGGTGGCGTGAGGAGTCTGTCTTAGGTACTGCTCTGAGGTGGGCTCTTCCCTGGCCCACACCCCTTGGGCAGCCGAGTTGCACTGGGTTGTCGGGGCATCCTTTGGCTGGATCCTTCCCTGCTGCTGCATTCTGCCAGTGCTGGGCCTCCACTAAGGACAGTGCTGCCTTTGTTTCTCCCTGAGCAGACACAGAACACGATCATTAGGGACAAGGCAAAGGCCACGATCACAACAGCCCTACTCTATTTGTGTTCCTTAGCAATATCAACATGTAGACCTCCCCGTCACAGTCCCTGTGGCCAGAGTTCCTTTAAGTGTCCTGCGGCCCAGGACTGCCTGCGGTAGCACATCCTAGAGAAGGCGATGGCAGAATGCAGGGCAGAGCAGGGCAAGGAAGAATGGGGAAGGAAGCTCAGCTTGGATGTGGTAGGTCCCTTGGCAGGCAGTGCCAGAGGGCTGCATTTCTCCCCTCTGCCCCCAGCTCTTCCCTCTGATTGCCAGCTGATGAGAAAATGATGCAGGAAGCATCAAGAGTGGAGTTGGGTTTGGGGATTTGGATCTTGGAGGATTTCACATGTTTCCCTGCCTTCTTCATAGTATCCTGTCAAGCCTCTGGTCTCAAGTATGTACCCAGATCCTGTAATGGGGTTCCTGCCAAGGCTGCTATGGCCTTGGCCTGACACAGTGGCTAATCACACTTAGATGGGGACCATTGGTTCAGCTATTCCTTTGTCATTTATTTTACTCTTTTTGTGAAGACCTGTAACCACACCTGGGCCAGAGCTCTATTTTAAAGGAGTGGCTCTTACTCCAGAGGCAGGACAGGATTTGGTTTCTTAAATAGGCTGGTCCATAGAGCATGTCTGCTTAGGTATAGAGGGACCCATTCCAAGGGGCTGACAGAAATTACGGGATATTGCCCCCCCCCCCCCCACATAAAACCAAACACAGAAGTGGTTCCTGAGTCTCCGGATGATGCTTCCCAGCATCAGTAAGACCGAGAGGACCTTACTGGGGACAGGCTGGCCCATTTGGTCACAGTCCCTTCCTATGGCATGCTCTGTGGGTATGCGTCCCAGCTCCACAACAGTTAGGCAAATAGTTGGCAGTAGGAAATTGAGTTCTTGGAGATGAGGCAGTGAAGTTTCTGAGGGACTTAGAAGACATTTGTGTTTTCCCATCTGTATCTCAAACAATCGGAGGAACCTGTATGTGTGATGCTGTAGACCCTGGCTCCTTTAGGTCAGACTCATTTTCCATGTTCTTTAATACTGAAACTAAATTCCCCCCAGATTCCTGCAGGAATTGGCCCTTGAGAGAATTTCTAGGCAAGGGTCTTTGCTGCCTGTGGGTAGGAAGTGGTGATGTATCTAGAGCTGACAGCTCAGATATGCCTGTGTCCCTGGGATTCACATTCGAGTGTTCATACACACTTGTTTCAACAAAAAAGGGGTTCCCCAGAGCTGAGGCTGGTGGGGTGGCCGGAAGAAGGTGGGCCAAGTGACCCATGGGAAAGAGAATTGGCACCAAACACGGCCGTTGGTAAAATGACAATATTCTGGTCCCCAGTGACTGGTCAGTGGGCACGGGTCATCTATGCATTCATCGCCCGTGCCACCCTGCAGGATCACCCACAAAATGCTAGTTTCCCCGGAAATCACAGCCTTCCCCAGGCTGCGACAGATTTAGCTCTTCGGTAGCAACTAGCCTGACCCCAGGTGCCTCAACAGCCCATAAACTTTTGGTGAGGCCAGAAACAGTTTTTGGACTCAGGAGTACAGCTCAGGTCCAGCTCAGCCTCAGCACATGGCAGGGTAGGTCTCTGATGAGGCCTATGTTTGAAGCCAGCTTTTCTTTGCCCTGCTACACACCTGAATTTCCTCTCTCCTTAGGATAATGACCGAGATTGTTCTGGGAACAAGGATGAGAGCAAAGTAGAAAAGAGCAAACTGTTCATTTTAAAATCTGATGAAGGTGATAAACCCTGGAAATAAACCCAAGTAACTTAGAGTCAAGGTGTTAAGTAAGCCATCTAACAATGAAAGCAGACCACTTCGCCAGCTCTGCAGTTCTTAGTCTTCAGGAATCACGTTTTCCATGTGGAGATCCCCGCTTTGTTTCCTGGCTCAGTCATGCCCTCCCTGGGGGGCCCCAGCCAGGGCTTTTTGGACTGGTCCCTGGGAGATGTTTGCTCAGCTCCCCTGCAGCTGGTTTCTTAGGGTCAGATGGAATGGAGGCTGGGGCTGAGCCATGGTGACTGTAAGCTGAAGTAGGGATGGGATGCGGGTAACGAACTAGATGCTCCTAGGCCTAGACAGACAGTAACTGAAGGTGAAAAACAGTCCTGCTGTTTTCACAAATTGGTGCTTATCCTTGTAACCACTCAGAAATTTGTGACCCTTACTTAATGACGCAAAACCCCAAAATGCACCCGCTTGTCAGTCACCAGTGACTTGGGGAGTCCTGAAGCTGGAGAGATCTCACAGCTGGTTGCCATTTACCGTTGCGGTGGCCCTCCTGATCCCAACTCGCCATCCCTGAAAGCTCTGTGGCAGAGTTCGTGGGGATGGAAGGTTTAAAAGGACAAGCTGAGGACAAGCTGCTTCCCCTCCCTTCCTGCCAGTCCCGAAAAGCTCCATGGTAGAGCACCCCCTCGTGGTAAGATGGTCTATGGGGTCATTGGCTGTGTGCACTGTGCACTGAATACACTGGGGCAGGGAGGACAGGCAAGAATTGCCTGTGAGAAAAAAACTACAGTCCTGCTCTGGAGCACACTGAAGCCAGGAGCTGCCAACACAGCAGGTCACCCCCAGTAGCTTGAAAACTGGCCGGCGGCCAGGGCAGTTCATGGCTGCTGCTGGTGAGATCACAGGAAAGTCTGCTCTCCAGTTATATGGGACTGATGCCTTCTCTGGCCAGGCACACGATAAGGAATTAATGGTCCCAGAACACAGACACGATGACAAAGACCCACAAACACACGGATGTGCTCTTTAAACCTTTAACTCAGCCTACTATTCTTGGGAAGGTGCTCTCCCAGGCATGCGCGCCCACAGCCATGCCTCGGTGTTTCAGGGAGTGTTAGTGTGAATGCCCTAGAACAGCACTGTCCAAGAGAAAAAGGATGCAAGTCACAGTATAATTTAAAATATTCTAGTTGCCACGTTAAAAAGAAAAAATCACAGGAAATTTAATATAGTTTAATCAACCCGAGATATCCAAAATATTATGTGGTCGATATAAAAATCACTGATGAGATGTTACATTCTCATTTGTGCCAGTTCTTCAGCATCTGGCGTGTACCTCTACCTACTGTGTGCCAACCACTGCGGCCAAGCAGGGGCTCCCACACTGGACAGCACAGCTTTGCAGACTTGTAGTTTCAAACAACTCCATCTTACACTTGCCGAAGGAACTCCTTTTTAAAACATAGTTGCCCTAAACTTAAACAAAAAACACTCAACTAAATTCTTCCTCAGTCACTCCCTTACCATGATAAACGTGACCCCTCTGTGCTTTGGGGATCTTCTGACCCCCGAGATCTGTAAGCTTGTTGGTGACATAGGCCCACTACGTGGTTGGGGAGCAGGAACCAGGATGACCTACTGTCCATGCTGCGGCCTCAGAGATCCTAGTCTTACCTGACGGCTTCTGCCTCTCAGCCACAGCGCATTCCTGGCACGACCCCTCATCTGCCCTACTCCCCCGACCCTTCCCATCGGCCACTCTCCCAGGCTGCCCTCTACTCTCACTGGCCACCTCCATGAGGCCTGTGTACCCTGGAACCCTGGCCACCGGCCACCTAGTCCAGCAGGACCAAGGCCTGAGCATTAAAGGAGAAAATGACCAGATGGAGCCCAGTGTTCCATGCCATGCCTGTACCTTCCCACCTCCTCTATCCTCCAGACCCCTCAATGCCAGTGTTTCTAGTGCCATAGCCATGACCTAGTCTCTTACCCTCCCAATAACCAACTCAGGTCCAGCTCCTGCCTTCCTCCTCAGCTGCCTCCCTGCCACTGCGCCCTGCCCTCCAGTCTGGTTAACCCCTGCTGCTTCAGCAAGCAGGGAGCACTCCTCCCATGACTGGATGGGGTTCCCTGTGGTGCCCGTCCATCTCTGCCACTGTTGGTTCATGTTTCTCCCTCATGGGTCCAAGACCACGTCCATCTCACCGTAGACCCACTGTGCCCTCAGCACCGAGCCTGTCCGTCACCCAGTGACTGGGTGAGCAGCTTCTGTGCCCAGCTTCTCTGAAACATGCCCATTGATTCCTCAGCTCAGTCTCAGAATCCACTCACTCCACCCCTGACCTGCCCTTATGCCTCCGCTCCCCTCCTGTGCTTGAGTTCCAGGTGCCACCTAGACCGGCAAGGTAGGAGTTTGGGGAGGGATGTAAAAGTCATGGCAAGAGCGCTGATGTGGGAACTCAGGCCCATACACACTCCAGGCCATGGGCCCCCACATTATCGCCTGGCAACACCTGGAAGGTTTCCCCAAACAGAGCCACCAGGCAAGAAAGGGGAATCTTGGTTTTATCCTCCAGGATGGCCACTGAGTGATGACAGCAACTAAGAGGCCAAGATGGTTCTCATATCTAAGGCTTGCTCCCCACTGCACACCATGCTACATTTCCCTGCCCCTCGACCTGTTGTCCTTCTCTGGGGTGGGGTGACTTCCACAGGAGTGCAAGTGTTACCCAGTAAAGTTAGCCTCTGGAGGGAAGGAGGTGGGCAGGTGAAGGAATTGGACCCACACCAGAAGTCTGCAAGTTGCCTCTGATAAATCAAGTTGTGAAGTCACGTTTTCAGTCTCTAAGCTACGTAGCAGGGATGACCCACGGTCCTACCTTGCAGCTCAAAACTGCTCTGGCTTTCTGGGGCCACAGTTTCCATGGAAACAAGAGAGTACACCACCCCCAGAGATTAACCAATAAACACGACCTGCAAAAGGAGAGAACAGGCAGCAAGAGAACCGGAGGGAACCGGGGGGCCCTGGAGAAAGAGGCGAGTGCGTGGCAGCTGGGCTGTAGAGTAGAACCGGAGAGGCTGCAGGCCGTGGGGCCGAGGAAAAGGAAGGCCTTGCAGGGGGGCTACAGTTCTTGGCAGAGAGAAAGGAGGCCTCTGGAGGTCAGAGAGAGACACAAAGAGAGCAGACAAGAGTGTGGGTCAGTGAGGAGGCCTGAGTGCCAGTGCCCAGGGCCTCTCAGGACAGAAGCCACGTGTACCCAGGACCCTGGCACACGTACCCACAGGGGTTTGGCCTCCACCCAAAGGTAAGCTCCCTCTCAGGCTGTTTGGGAATCCTGGGTGTTTCTGGTCAGGGAGCCAGCCCAAGAGGTCCTGCTGCATTTTGGAGACTTTTTGGTAGCCAGTGGGGGCAGGGAGGTTGCAGGTGGAGTTCCACCATGACACCCCTATCATCGGCACCTGCCCATCCCTCAGTCATGACCAGAGAGAGTGAGGGGCACCATCACCTGAGCCCAGCTCTGGCCCTCAAGCATCTGAACCCTGTGTGTGGAGGGCAGCAAGGGGCTGCCACGCTGACTCCTGTCCCACAGGCCTCAGAGGGGGAGCCCAACCCGCCAGACTCCTGGGCAGGACTGGGGACACCCCACAAGGAGGCTGCTCCTGAGCACTTCCTAGAGACTACATACCCTCAGGACAAGAACCAAAGTTGCCTTCTTTCAGTGTTTGTGGAAAGAAAGCCTGAGTGAAGAGTTGGAATGAGGCTGGGGCAGCCAAAGTTCCAGATGAGACATGGCCAGCTTGCCACCCTGGGGCATCTGCTCTGAGTACTTCTGATCTAGCTCTGCCCTCTCCACCCTAGCAGCCCAGCCCAAGATGGGCACCGGCACCCAACTGGCCAGCCCTTCGATGGGCCAGCGATCCTGGGAAATGACCAACAGAAAGTTCCAGTCACTGAGGGCCAAGCCAGAGCTGTGCCAGGCACTGCCCACACCTCCCCAACCCTGCCACTCCCTGCTGCCTGGGCCACAGGAGCAGGGAGCACCAAGCCCAGCTCTGACCTCTGATCTCCGGCACACTGGATGTGGGCAGAGTCACGGCGGCAGGGTCCTGGGCTTCGCTTGCCAGTCTCTGGCTTGCACACATGGACTTGAGCATCTGAAAGACGGCAAGGGGCGCCACGTTCAGCTTCAGCAGGTCCACCAAGATCCTGGCGAAAACAGACGAGGGGAGCAGTGACCCCTTCTTGCCCGAGACCAGGCGTGGGTACAGGCTGGGGCTGGGCCCAGGAGCCCCACCTTCCTCCACCCTCCCCTGGGCTCCCAGGAAAGCTCAACAGGGGTGGGGGAGTGGGAAGGCGGTGGCGTCGGGGGTACGAGGAGCCAGTAGCCTCCACCCACGCCCACTCACTTGAACACGTCGGGGTCCATGGCGCCGCCCGCCGCCTGCGCCAGTTCGTACAGCTCCATCTCCTCGGCGCTCAGCACCTTCTTCCGCCGCAGCGCGAGCTTCTGCAAGGCCGCCTCCAGCCCCGGGGTCCCACCGGGCCCCAGCCCCGGCCCCGGCCCCGGCCCGGCGCCCACCGCCGCCATCTGCGCGGCCCGCGGGAGGTGCACACCCCGCTGGGCTCGCGCCCAGCCCCGCCCCCCGCAGCACCCTCTACTGGCCGGGACCGCCTTCCTCTCGCTGCAGCGCGCCGCCCGGCCCCCGGCGCAGCCCTGTCACGGAGGGCAGGGACCGGCAACTCTCCCGTCCGTCATTCGAGCCTCAAATAGTTGTGTGGGCTGGGCGGGGTCAGGCGTGGGGAGGCCGCGCCCACCGAGACTCTCACCCCCGGCCGTCAGGGCTTCCCTGCCAGTCTGCACTGGTCGTCCTCGCTCAGGGAGCAGCATCCAGCGCAGTGGCCAGTGTATGGTGGGTGCGCGATGAATGCGTACGAGACGAAGAGCAGTTAATACAGTAACTGCTCAGCGCCGGGTCCCCCACCCCCATTAGAGGGCGCGCTCCGAGGGCCTAATCAACGACCTCTTTCACGCGCATGCGCGCTCTTGCCGCTGGCATCAGGGCGTGCGTTTACGCGCACGCGCGCTCGGAGGTGGACGCCGTCTACGCGGCCAGTGTCTTCCCCGGGCGCACGCTTTGAGGCAGCGCCGGAAGAGCTAGCAGCGTGTTTCCCTCCAGGCCAGGAGACGTGACGCTTTCGCGCAGCTTGATGACGACATTTCGGCGCCGGGTAGCCGAATGGCGGCTTCCATCTCTTCGGAGAGCGGTGCGATGGGTGAGTGGCGGGAGCCGCGCGTAGGACGATCCCGCGTCCCGGCTGCCTCCCCGAACCTCCAGGGCGGCTGTCTCTGTTCTTCCGCCGGGCCTTGGCGTCTCTCTCATGCCACCTTCCCCTGCTGTGCATTCATTCTACCTTCCCGCGCGCCTGGCACACCTGGTCCCGAGGGGAGCTCGGCCAACGTACGTTGAACGAGTTGGAGAAGGAAGGGCTTCCCGTTAAAGTTGAACTTTGGGTTCAACCAGTGTGGGAGGAAAAGTCGGGACTGAATATGGGTGTGTCTCGATTTTTCCGAGTCTCATCTTCCTCATCTGTAATACAGCGATCCCGGTGCTCACTTCACAGGGTAACTGTGAGCAGTTAACAGCAACTGCTTCTTAGAGGGAGGCCTTGGCAGTAGCGTGATTTGCTTTTCTCAGAAATTACCCGCAGACACGGTCCGAAGCGGCACTGAAGAAAGTGGGTGTTGAATGGAGGGATGAAGAGTTGGCTTGGTGCACAGGGCAGCAGGGTGTGATTCAGGCTGTTGCCGTGGCAGAGTCAGATAACAGCATGTGGGAGACACTGCTCTCCCTTGGAAAATTGCCTGAGTTTTTCGTGAGGAATGAGGCGCTGCTGGCCTCATTCCTTCAGTAGCTGCCTGTGCAAGCATTGTCTGAACAAGGAGGTGTTTGCACCTTATCTCTAAAATTCTGTCCCTTGCAATAGTCCAGAGCTTTTTGTTGCTTTGATAATTTTGGAGTCTTGTATAATGTTCTCTAGACCATTTGTTGCAGGAATGAGGCTTTTTAAGTCTTTCTTAAAGCTGAAATTGATAATATTTACTTAAGAATTGAAAAAACCAGGGAAATCTTTGTAGTGTCGAATGGCAAAGATGGGTGTCTCTTCTCAACCCCGCAACGGTCTACACAGCCTCCTTGCATCCAGCTTCTCTCCACCCACGTAGACTGCCAGTGCTCTTCCTGGGAACTTGGGGCAGAGTTTCCCCAGGTAAGGCATCAAGTAACAGCCCAGCCCAGGAGTGGGATTTCGTGTGCTTCCTCTCTGCTCAGTTCTACCGTGGTTATTTTCAGCTTCTGCCCTGCGTGGGCAGAGAAGTAGGCATCTGGAGAACTCCTGATTTTCTGTCCAAAGGCCTCTTTGGTAGAAACTCTTTCTTCCCCTCCAATCATTCATTCTCATAGAACACAGGTAATGCAGAGGGGACTTGTCCACCTGTCTGTCTGTGAGAAGATGAGGGCAAGGAGGATACTCCCACTCAGTATCCCTTTTCTTCATCTTAGTGATCTTGTAGTGTTATTGTGAGGATGTATTTTCTATCTTGCCTAATATACAGCTTCAAATTACACCCATTTCCTATCTCATATAGTGAGAAGTACAGGTTCAGCTTGGTTCTCTGGTTAGGCTGTCACAAGACTGAAATCAAGGTCTTCACCAGTTTTGTTTTTATCTGAAGACATTCAGGAAGAATCTGCTTCTAAGCATATTCAGGTTGCTGGCAGAATGCAGTTCCTTGGAGTTGTTGGACTAAGTCCCCATTCCTTTGCTACCTGTCAGCCGGCACCCCTCTGTATTTATGGTCCACCAACTTGAGATGATAGTTGCACCTGCACGCTACCTTCAGAACAGTAGCACGATGAATGTTGGAATAGGAAGGAATCAGGGAGGGCTCTCTTTAGAACTCTGCCTAGCACAGATTTTTTTTTTTAACATTTTAAAATGACAGGTTTATTAAAAAGAAAAGGAGAAAAAGAGAGGCACCTGCATAGTTGCAAGTGGACAGGACAGCTACCCCTACCACAAGGATTTAATGAGGACATATAGGGAAAGCTCATAGGACTGAGCTGGGCACATACAAGAGTTACCAAGTGTTAAACCACCCGATACTTAGCTGTGAAACTGGCTGCTGAACTGCACAAAAATAGCATTTTTGCAAAACATGAGACTTGACAATGCTACGTGTTGCTTTCTATAAGCATTCTTGTGGGCATTGTGAGACAATACAGTATTTGTTGTGAGGCAGATGTTGAATTCTTGTCTTTGTTTTTTCACAGTGGTTTCCTAAGACGACCGTTTTAGACTCTCCACGGGAGGTTGTGATGGCGTTTCCTCACCTGCAGCAGCCCAGCTTCTTGTTGGTAAATATCGGCTACCTGCGTGAGTGTCAATGTGATGAGAGTTCTATAGCTGAGAGACTTGAGAGTTCTTGCCACTGACTTGAAAAACTCTTCAGTGGCTGTTTTTGGGGTATGTGATAGAAGTAACACCAGACACTGGGGTAGAATGTTTAGATTCAACTCTACCTCCTGTTTGTGCAGGACCTTTGGTTTATTCAACCAATGAGCCCTGGTTTTCTTTTTTCCTTTTTTTTTTTTAAAAAAGATTTATTTATTTATTTATACATACATACATACATACATACAAGCACTGGGTACAGTCAGAAGCGTGGGAGGATGAGAGGATTCACACCAGAGCCAGAGTGGGGAACAGAACAGGCACACTGACGAAGTGCACTGCTGAGGGGAGCAGCAGGCGGCAGGAGAGGTCTGCGTGCCATGTGGGACCCTCGCCGGCGGCTGGGGATCGAACCAGTGCTGCAGAGGCTGCAGGCAGCTTCGCAGCCCAGCGCTCAACTGCTGTGCCACCCGGGGAGGCCCAACCCTGGTTTTCTTATAGTCAAGACAAGTTGATTCAAATGCCATTTTCATTACTTTTCCCAGGTTGTAGGGAGGAGCAAGTGAAAACAACATACATCTGAATTTTCCTATCTTGTGAAGCCTTACACAAATGGGATGTGTTACAGTAATCATAATTTGTCATCAGTGGAAATGAGGGATACTGCTCATTGGGGGCCTACCAGGACTGCACTCTAAGGATTAAACATGATGCTGAGAACTTATATGTGAAAGAAATATCAATAATTTCACCTTCAAAAAGATACTTTTCATAAATATTTATTTGAAAGGGCGTTCTTCCTTGGTGTACCCCTTGAGACTATCAGATCAACCATGACCAAAATAGCCTAGGTCTCCGCCCTTGGCTCAGGCACTGGGACTCCACCCTCATTTGGAGGTGGATGAGGCCTTAGATATCCTTAGGCAAGCTCCTTAGGTAAAATTTTGGCATTTCTTCCTGATCTTCCTTCATTTGCATAGGGGCACCTTTTCTTCCTGTAGTCAGGTTATACACAAGCTTTTCTCATACTCTGACCTCAGGTAGATTTCCTTAGTTCTTGTCCTGAATGTTTCCTGCCCTTTCTGTTGCCTTTCTGATTAGTGTCGACACTTCACTGAAATCATCTGTAGTTTTTAGCCTATCTTATTTCCTTTCTTGCGTATAAGAACTGGGGTGTAGGCCAGGGGTGCAGGGGGTGAGAGGATTCTCCAGGGACAGAGTGCAGAGCAGAACAGTGGATTTACTGAACTACATTGCTAAGGAGAGCAGCAGGCGAGACAGGAGAGGTCTGCTGCACCATGTAGGTTGGCTCCCTGGCCTGATCAAACTTAGGCTGCCACCGTTATAGAGCTGAGACTTAACCCCTAGGCCACCGGGGTGGCCCTGTTTCATTTCTTAAGGTAATTAGTTCAGTTGGGTCATTATCTACTGAAGAAGGGATGCCTTGGTTAAGAGGGTTTAAATTACAACCACTGCTTGAGCGCTGGGCTGCGAAGCTGCCCGCAGCGTCTGCAGCGCCGGTTTGATCCCCGGCCACCGGCGTGGGTCCCACGTGGTGCGCAGACCTCTCCTGCCACGCCCGCTGCTCCGCTCAGCAGTGTATTTTGTCCGTCTGCCTGTTCTGTTCCCCGCTCTGTCTCTGGTGAATTCTCTTACCCTCCCGCGCTTCTGACTGTACCCAGTGCTTGTATAAATAAATAAACAAATCTTTAAAAAAATTAATTACAACCACTGCCACTCTCATTTTGTTGGGCATGCTCACTAATGATCACTGTAGTGTAATCTTAGGTGGTCTAGCATATAGGAAATTTCTAATTCGTATGTTACTGGGAAGCAAGTCTGAGGGTTACTTTTCTGAAAAACAAAGCATCTCAGCCTCTCCTGGTAGCATCTTTTAGGTCACTGACACATGCATGACCTAACAGATGAGGTCCTGGGAACCAGGTCAGTGGTGTGTATCTGACTCGTCTACTTTGATTCCCATTTTTACTTCAGCCAGAATATCAGCAACAGCCACTAAGTGAAAATGCTTATGTCTTTGGGGGTTTGTTCTGTCTTCTAGGCTAGCCTGAAAGCTGACTCCATAAATAAACCCTTTGCACAGCGATGTCAAGACTTGGTTAAAGTCATCGAGGATTTTCCAGCAAAGGTATAGACAGCCCCGCTAGAGTCTCTTGAGAGCATGTCTTATCTGCTCTTTGAAAAACATCATCGTAGCCCTTGGTTCCCACCTCTGCACGCTGACCTGTACAGAAGCCTGAACCAGTATTGTGACATACGTTTATGGATATATCTAAACATGTGAACATGTAGACCAGGGCATCGCAACCACAGTGCTCCTGCCCACATAGGACCCTTGGTAATGTCTGGAGACCTTTTTAGTTGTCACATGGGAGTGGCACTACTTTCATCACATGGGTGGAGGCCAGCCATGCTTGTAACCAGCCCCTGATGCACAGGGCAGCCCACACAACAAAGAAATGTATCGCCCCAAATATCAGTTGTGTAAATACTGGAGATAGGTATTTATGTCTCTCTCACCTGGCATTATGAAAGAAGAACTGTAATAAGCAAGCCCAGGAAGCTGACCTGAGTAGGGAGTTCATACCAAATAGCAGCAAGTCATAGTTTTAGCGGCTCACTCTGAGCGAGGCAGGACATTGCCACCCTTTTTAATAGAATTCTTTTCATATCAGATCAGAAGTTTATGAAAAAAAAAAAAAAAAAAAACCTCTTAATCACAGACTGACTAGTTTGGCTCAGATGTAAAGCAGTACTGCTTGGTCTACCACATAACTACAGTGGAAAACTCCAAAGCTGCCCCTCTCTCAGTGCTACTGCACCAAGATCCCTGTGGGTGCCAGTCTGGTCTGAACTCTGTAGTGACCTCCTCAGAGGGCAGGGCCAGTGAGGGAGGAGGGCAGCGTGTGGTGCAGGACGAGCTGGGAGGGTACTGGTCTTTAGCTGGTTTCTCTGAAGCCTCACCAGCTCACTGTTTCAGGAGCTGCATGCCATCTTCCCATGGCTGGTAGAGAGCATCTTCGGCAGCTTGGATGGTGTCCTCGTCGGCTGGAACCTCCGCTGCCTGCAGGGGCGCGTGAGCCCTGTAGAGTACAGCATTGCGATGGAATTTCTAGACCCTGGGTAGGTAGGTTTGTCATGTAAGAGGGACGGGATATTTGCTCATAATGATCCTATTTTTTAATCACTTTATTTCTCAAAGTTAAACAATCAAAAACTGGTGGTTTGCAGTTCATTTGTCCTGTTTTTTTTTTTTTTTTTTGGTTTAATTTCATGTTCAGTGGCCCAATGATGAAGCTGGTTTATAAACTCCAAGCTGAAGACTATAAGTTTGACTTTCCTGTCTCCTACCTACCAGTAAGTGAACCGCGGTGGTCAGAGCCATGCCTGGGGCAGAGAGCCCTGCATATCTGCGGTGGTGGATGGGCAGGGACTCCCTGAGAGTGGACAGGAGAAAGCCATGGTGTCTGTTGAGGGGCAACAGAAATTAGAATGCCAACAGTTAGTTTTTTGTTTATTTATATACTTTTTTAAGATTCATTTATTTGTGCATACCAGAACTGGGGTACAGGCCAGAGGTGTCGGAGGTGAGAGGATTCACCAGAGACAGAGCGGGGAACAGAACAGGCAGATTGACCAAAGCACACTGATGAGGGGAGCAGCAGGCGAGCCAGGAGTGGTCTGCTGCACCATGTGGGTTGCTCCCTGGCTGGCCAGGAGTCGAACTCGTGCCACAGTGGCTGCAGATTGCTTCATAGGATGCTTCTCAACCCTTGTGCCACCAGGGAGGCCCTAACAGTTTTTCTAAAGATCTTTTCTTACTCTTTCAGCAGTGAAGGCACCATACTGCCTGGCTTGTGTGGGGTTGCTTTGTTTTTCTGTCTCTAGTCCTTCAGGGGCAAATGAAAGGGTTCCTTACTCAGTGTGTATGAGAAATGAAGGAGATGGAGTTAGGTGCCCTGCGAGGCTCAGGTGCACAACCACTGCCCTTGCCATTGTGGGTCTTTGTAAGGATGGTATGAGAGTGTGAAGTCTCTCCTGCTCGATTGCTATGCAGAGGAAAGTGCTGTTCCCATGGCGGGCTCCGTGTGCCACTGCTCCTCAGCAGCCTTCACAAAGGGCCACATCTCCCGAAGGCTCTGCACGAACCCACCCACAAGCCGCCCTCCCTCTCTGCAGGGCCCAGTGAAGGCGTCCATCCAGGAGCGTGTGCTCCCCGACAGCCCCCTATACCACAACAAGGTTCAGTTCCCCCCCGCTGGGGGACTCGGCCTGCACCTGGCCCTCAGTATCCTTTGTCCAGTGGGTAGGGGAGCTGTGAGTGTGGAAACTGGGTGGCCAGCGCAGTGCTGAGGGGTGATCCGCCAACCCTGCCTGTTTGGCCTCTGACATTTGCCATCAGATCCATTCGAGTATTACATGTTCTTCTTGCTTTGAGCCTCATCACGCAAAAGGTACGGAGGGGTTGCCTCTGAGCACAGATAGCCTTATGACAGTCCCCAGGGGTGGGTGGTGGCCATGGCCTGGTCCGTAATTTTCCCCGTCGGGGGGTGGGGGGGTGGGTGTTTTTGGGGGGGATCTTTGGACTCTCCTAGGAGCCAACTTTGGCCTTTACCTTCTTTTGTTTCTCCTTTTCCCTACCCACCTGGTTTCTGTGTGTCCTTTCCTTCTTCCTCTAGCTTCTGCCTCATAGACATTTTTACTTATGAGGACCACAGACTAGCGGGCAGACTTTGACAGCTGATATGAGGTTGTCTTACCACCCAAGTGGTGATCAGGGAGACTTCCTGCAGGAGGTGTTTGCTGGGCATGGAAACAGGATTGGGATCCTCAGGGGGGTTGAATTCTGGTTGAGGTTAAGAGGTCTAATCAGGTCCCGTACAGTTAATTTTTTCCTAGCATCACCCATGGTGTGTTATGAATCAGGCCCTGTGATTGCTGGGTTTGGCAGCAGGAGCCAAGCCTAGAGCCCCATGCTAACACTAGTTTTGATTTCCAGCCACTACCAGGGGCCCTCCATGTTCGTACTTCAGACTGTGCCTATTTCATCCTAGTGGACAGGTACCTGTCATGGTTCCTGCCCACAGAAGGCAATGTGCTCCCCCCACTCTCCTCCAGTCCCGGCGGACCCAGCCCCTCACCAGCTCCCAGGTAAGGTTCCCCTGCTGCTGACTTTGGCCAGTACTTAAGTGGTCCTTGCCTGCTGCTACCGTTAAGAACTCGTCCTTGCGTGAGGGAGTGGTCTAGTCAGTGCATTGCTTTTAGGGGCCGTGGTTCTACTTTTTGCCCAGGGCTCCTCAGGGTTTTTGGAAGAGGAGAAAAATCAAGCAGTTTTGAGGGGCTTTAGGGGAAGATCCAAGGGCTGGGGACCTGAGATCTGCTGTTCTTGGGCCAGTCAGAATCTCCCCAGCTTTATAGTCACAGAAATCCCCCCAAATTTTTTATGCCTAAGAGTCCCCAGCCTAGTTGCTCTGGCACAGACTGGATGGTGGGGACGGGAGGATTTCAGTAGCCATCACTGAAGTGGTTGGGCCCTGTGGCTACATTGAGGAGGCCTCACTGTGGGTATGGGAATAGGCTGTGTTCTGCCGGTAGCAGTCCTCACCACACATGGCATCCAAGACCCATATCGAGGAGGTGAGCAGGGTCCCAGGGGACTTGAAGCTTTGTCATAAGAAGTGACAACGTTGGTGATTGATGGTTCTGGAGAGAAAGGATTTATGGGCAGGATGAAGAAGGTTTGACCAGTGGATGAAAAAGATTAGTAGGAATTTGTGTGGACCAGAGGACCAGGTCTTGGCCTGAGCTGGTGATCCTGGGGTGAAGAGACTGTTGTGGCAGTCCAGGCAGATTGGGCTGTTCAGGAGGGAGCACGCAGCCAGCTCTGAGGCCTTGGTGGGACCTGTAGCCTGGTACCTCTTGGCCAGCTCTGCCTGGGAAACCAGATGGTTTCTCGGCCCAGTTTTGTTGGCTTGTTTTAATATGAAGTTCAGATTTACCGAAACGTTGCCAGGTATAACAAAGAACTTAATAAACCCATCAGCAAGGTATTTGCGTTGTTTTACCCTCTCTGTATAGAGTGTGTTCTGGACTGTATGGGTAATGTACATACATGATACCCTGTTACCATTCAACTCTTCAGAGTCTTTTTTCCTAAAAGCCAGTGCATCCTCCTACATGATCACTGCATTTCTATCCAAATCAGGAAGGTAGTATTGTTGTCAGACCACCATCTAATTCTCAAAACTCCCTTGGGTTTGACCTTTCCCTGATGGGTTTCGGTGCAGGGTCTCTTGCTTCATGCAGATGTCTTTCTAGCCCTCTTCCATCCTCAGGCTTTTCCAGCCTGACGCCTTTGAAGCATGCAGCCTGGGTGTGTGCAGCATCCTGTGGACTTGGGTTCTGTGGTGTTAACCTCATGATTAGGCCCAGGTGGGCTTTATGGGCAGGAGCACGATAGTGGTAGCCAGTGGTGTCCACGTGCCCCAGCATTGCACCGTTAGCTTGATCACTGGGCCAAGGGAGTGTTCACTTTAATTGTGAAGTTGTGTTAATGAGTGCCTAAATTAATCAGAAAGGGGAATTTAGTGAGAAGATATACTGAGACTGTAAGCACTAGTGTTAGAGGAGAGTTTTCTTCCCTGCTTATCTGTCTGTGTATCATTATGGATGTGGGAGTCACTGCGTGCTTCAACAGGTGTAAGTGTTACCATTGGTTTTGATGACCAGATTGCCCTTGGCTAAGGCAGTGGGAGCTGAAGGCTTGTTTATCTATCTCCCGTAGGACGCCAGCCATGCCCTTCACTTCCTACGGCCTCCACCATACCAGCCTCCTGAAGCGACACATCTCTCACCAGACGTCTGTGAATGCAGACCCCGCCTCCCATGAAATCTGGAGATCAGAAACCCTGCTCCAGGTGAGAGCTGGGGCAGCTCTTCTCTGCTTCCATGTCAGAAAGAAATGCTTAGCCCCCTTCTATCACTGGAGAAAAGACTGCCCATGTCCTGGGGGTGGTGCTGTGTTGGTCTTTTCCTGCTACGATATTCAGCAAAGGGATTGTCTCTTTCCTGTCTCTTTCTTGTCTCACATGTCTAACCTATGTCACTGGCAGTGTTTTTCATCCCAGGATTCCTTGTCCATAGAGTTTTGCTTTGTTTTTTGTCCTGGTGATATAATCATTGCCAAGTCTTGTAGTTTCCCATACATCTCACTAGAGGTTCCCCCCGTCTACTCTGTCTCTCTGACACACTCCTGTTTTTCTGGGGAGATGTTTCCTGCGATACCCATCACGTGGATATTAAACCCAGACCCGGTAGCATGTTTATGATGCTGAGTGGGAGGGCCTGTGATGCCTTTACTTAAGATTGTCAGCAGCCCATCATCCTTTCATGCCAGGGCACCCTGATGGAGGGTAGTTGGGCCCCTTTTCTACCCTTGTATGGGCTCCAAACTCTCCCACAGGTGTAGGTTGGCTCTTTCCCAGAGCATAGCACTGGCTGCCTCCCAGACTTGACTGTGTCGTCTCTTCCAAGCATGCCTTAGAGAGTTTGGTTCCAACACTGGAGTCTGGAGCTGTGTTGGTAGCCACAAGTATCACTTGCTGATAGCCTGGAATTGGATGAGATAGAACTGTGTCCCTTCTCCCCATACATAACCCACACATGGGGGCCGCTGCAGCTTTAGAGGCTTCCGCCATACCCTTGCAGCAGACGCAGACTCAGTGGAACAGAACTGGAGAGTTGTGTCCAGCATCAAAATGCTAATGCTGTTTTGTTTTTTCTTTTTTTTTTTTTTTTTTTTTTTAATATTAAATTTTATTTTTATATTCCCCCATACAATTGCAAACGCCCCATTCTGACCCCAATCCTTCCCCTCCCCCAAAAAGTGTCTCTGGTTCATAGTTTTTTGTTGATTTTGATTTTCACTTTCTTATATTCATTTTCCTGGTCCCTTATTTAAGTTTTCTAGATTCCTGCTATGAGTGAGACCATCCGGTATTTTTCTTTTTCTTTTTGGCTTATTTCGCTGAGCATGATCCCTTCCAGTGCCATCCATGTTGCTGCAAATTGCATGTGTTTATCTTTTTTGAATGCTGAGTAATATTCCATGGTATATATGTACCACATCTTCTTGATCCAGTCATCTATTTTTGGGCATTTGGGTTGTTTCCAAAGCTTAGCTATTGTAAACAGTGCTGCTATAAACAAAAATATGGAACGCTTCACGAATTTGCGTGTCATCCTTGCGCAGGGGCCATGCTAATCTTCTCTGTATCGTTCCAATTTTAGTATATGTGCTGCCGAAGCGAGCACTGTTTTGTTTTTTCTTATCTAAACAATTTTTTTAAATTATGGGAAAATATATGTAACCAAGTTTACCATCTTAGTTGTATTTCAAGTATGCAGTTCGGTAGTGTTAAGCTTTGTTGTGTAATGGATCTCCAGAACTGTTTTTATCTTGTAAAACTGAGACTCTGTCCCCACTTAAACAGCAGTTTCCTCATTTTCCCCTCTTCCCAGTCTCTGGCAACCAACATTCTAATTCTGTTTTTGTGAATTTCATTACTCTGCGTATCTATAGAAATGGAAACAAGCATTACTTTTAGATTTACTAATTTCACTTAGTGTGTTGTCTTCAAGCTTCATCAATGCTGTAGCAAGTATGAGAATTTTCTCTTTAAGGTTGAATAACATTTTTTGTATGGACATGTAGTATACTTTGTTTATCCATTCCTCATCAATAGACATGGGTTGCTTCCATGTTTTACCTATGTGAATCATGCTGCTATGGACTTTTAATTCTTTTGCATATACTAAGAGTTAGAAATGCTGGAATGTCCGGTAGTTCTGTTTATTTATTTATTTGTTTTGTTAACGATTTATTTATTTATTTATTTATTTATTTATTTATTTATTTATACAAGCAGTGGGTACAGTCAGAAGCGCGGGAGGGTGAGAGAATTCACCAGAGCCAGAGCAGGGAACAACAGGCAGAAAGACCGAGGTACAGTGCTGAGGAGAGCAGCGGGCGCGGCAGGAGAGGTCTGTGCACCATGTGAGACCCTCGCCGGTGGCCGGTGCGAACCAGCACTGCAGAGGCTGCGGGCAGCTTTGCAGCCCAGCGTTCAACCGCTGCGCCACCAGGGAGGCCCTATTTATTTGTTTTTTGAGGAACTGCCATACTGTTTCCCAGAGCCTGACCCCTCTACTTTCCCACTGGTGACGCATAAGGAGTGCAGCTTCTCCACATCCTCGCCAGCACTCCTTATTTTCTATTGATTGTAGCCGATCTAACATGAGATTGTATAATAGGTCCCCCTTGTCCACAGTCTTGTTCGCCACAGTTTTGGTTTCCCTGGGTGAACCAGCCGTCCAGAAATATTTGGAGAGAGATCACAATCACATAACTTTTGTCACGGTTTTTCATGATGAATTACTATTGTTTGTATCTTACTTTATCACGCATATAGAGGTGTGAGGAAACTTCGTTATCTAAAGGACAGGAGCTGAGGTTCTAAGCACCACGGTCCCACAAATAAGGGGGCCTGCTGTCTCTCATCATGGGCTGGATTTGCATTGTCCCAATAGTGATGTTGAACGTCTTTTCATGTCCTTGTTGGTCATTTGTGTATCTTCGTTGGAGAAATGTCTGTTTCGGTCCATTGCCCTTTTTAAAACTGGACTGTGGGCCTCCCTGGCGGTGCAAGCGGTTGAGCGCAGCACTGTGAAGCTGTCTGCAGCCTCCGCAGCGCGGGTTCAAGCCCAGCCGCCAGGGAGCTACCCACATGGCGCAGCAGACCATTCCTACCTCGCCCGCTGCTCCCCTCAGTAGTATATTTCAGTCAGTCTGCCTGTTCTGTTTCCCGCTCTGTCTGGTAAATCCTCTCACCCTCGCACATCTGGCCTGTACCCCGGTTCTTGTGTGAATAAATAAATAAATCATTAAAAAAAAAAAACTGGGTTGTTTATGCTTTTGTTGTTGAATATTAGGAGTTCTCAATATGTTCTGGATATTAATACCTAGCCAGAAGTGTGATTTGTAAATATCCTCCCCCATTCCGTGCATTTCCACTCTGTTGATAGAGTGTTTTGAAAGTGAGGTTTTTTTGATTTTCATGAAGTTCAATTTAGCTCTTCTCTTTTGTTGCCTGTGCTTTTGGAGTCAGATCTAATCAATCATTTTTAAATTCAGTGCCATAAACCCCCTCAACCCCATGCTGTCTTCTAAGAGTTTTATACTTTAGACTCTTACATCTGGGTCTTTGATTCATCTTGAGTTATGTTTTATATGTGATGTGAGGTAAGAGACTCACTTCCTCATTTGCACGTGGCTGTACAAAAGAGCCTGTGTTGAAAGGACGGCCCTTTCCCCACTGAACGTTTTGGCATCTTTGTCAAAAATCATTTAACCATCTACTGCTGCTCTTTTGCAGGTTTTTGTTGAAATGTGGCTTCATCATTATTCCTTGGAGATGTACCAGAAAATGCAGTCCCCGCACGCCAAGGTATGTTGCTGCAGCTTTTTTTCCCATCTCCTGCAGTGACCCTGGTGTGCATGGTCAACCTGCTGCTTCTTGTCCTTGAGTTCAGTGAGTTTTCAAGGACTGCATGGAGGGAGGCTGAAAACCCCCTCCCTTCACTCTCAGATGCTGAACAGCAGGCGGGTTTTGTTCTGTGGTGGACTTGCACCCCTGAGGACTGGAGGCCTCTCTTCTCTGGGGTCCTCCCCATGCTTCTGCCAGAGCTTGCTCCCTAGCAGCGGGAACAGATGAAGTTGTAGCACTCATGCTCTGGGGGTGGGGAAGCTGCCCATGTCTCTGGGACTCACATCTTCTCCCCTCTACCATCACAGCACCTCCTGCTTTCCTCTTGAGGAGGTGCCCAGCAGCCCCCACCCACCCATCGGTTATTGCTGCCCTCTAGAATCTCCAGATCATCTGTGGGCAGCGAGTTGCAGTGGGTGGAGTCTGATGACCTCCTGCATGTGGCCTGTCTCTTCCTTCTCCTTGCCTGTACCGCCTTCCCTGGGTGGACAGGGCTCCTTTGCAGAGGTAAAGAGGCAGCTGTGTCCTTGCAGCCCTCCTGGGTTCACTCTCCCCAGGGCCAACGATCCCCTGCATTCATCGGGGTAGTAGAACAGTTTGGTCCAGGTAGTAAGAGGCCAGTAGGCACTTAGATTTATATTTGTGTAAGAGTTTGAATCACCTGGGCCCCGTTGAAGGCAGCATCAAGCCTCAGTTCTTTAGTCTATGACTTCTGTGCATCAGTTTCCTGGTTAGACTCTGTTTTTGTCACTGCTAGACAAAATTTGAGGCTTACCAAAGAATTAATAGGGATCCATGTGTTCAAATTGAGGACAGCAGGGCCTTCCTGGTGACCTAGGGGTTAAGTCTCAGCACAATTACTGTGCTGGCCTGAGTTGGTTTCCTGGCCTAGGAGCTATCCCACATGTAGCAACAGACCTCTCAGGCCTCGCATGTTGCGCCCCTTAGTGGTGTACATCTGCCTGTTCTGCTCCCCATTCTGTCTCTGGTGAATCCTCTTACCCCCCCCCCCACCTCTGGCCTACACCCCATTTCTTCTGTGCAACAATTTTTTTTAAAAAAAGAACTGAAATCTATATTTTAAAAAAAAAGTGGGAATATGGGCCTCCCTTGTGGCGCAGGCAGGTGAGCGCATTGCTGTGAAGCTGTCCACAGCCTCTGCGGTGCCGGTTCGATCCCCGCCAGCCTCGGAGCAACCCACATGGTGAGCAGACCTCCTCTGTCTCACCAGCTGCTCCCCTCAGCAGTGTATTTCATCAGTCTGTCTGTTCTGTTTCCCACTCTGTCTCTGGTGAATCCTCTCACCCTCCCGTGAATTTGGCCAGTACCCCGGTTATTGTATAAATGAATCTTAAAAAAAAAAAAAAATAGTGTATAAATAAATCTTAAAAAAAAAAAATAGATAGTAGCCTGCAGCTTTTTCCCTGTGATTCTGGGGAGAAGCGGTGCTTCTGCTCTTGCTACAGCATCTCAGCAGCCAGTTCTATGACAACAGTCCTCTGGCATGTGGAGACTTGGGACACAGCTCCCACTATTGCTCTTTTAAAGTGCAGGGCAGCCCACATCTCCATCCTTAGTACCATATGGGTGGGGAGAGGGGCAGTACTCCACCCTGGGCCCCTGGAGTCACAAAGCATGTGCACTGCCCTTCCTGCTTCCAGGGTGACCCTGAGATCCTGAGAGGCTCACCTAGCCTTATGCTTGTAAGCTCGGTCTTGGAGAGGCAAGGACGGCATCACTGCATTACCCTGTTTTCTGTACATTCTGTCTTCTGAGCTCCCACTTTAATTTTTAGCAGTAGATCATTAAAAAGCCCTCTGTGCTCTCTGTCTCTGTGAGGATTCTGACTGCACATGGGGAAAGGGCAGTGAGCTGTCCTTTCCAGGATAGGGGCTTCTCCTTGCCCACATTGGTTCCTCCTGGCCAGACCTCAGGGTGGGTGAGAGCTGTTCAGAATGACTGGCAGTGGGGAGGTCCATGAGGTCCCCAACCAGAAAGGATCTGCTTTTTGATTCATATTCAGGCAGAAAGCAAAACCAGTGAGGGAGAGACAGCCTGGAATGTCCGCTTTATTCCCAGCCCCTTACTGTTGCGCTGCATCAGACAAAAATCCTTGCCAGTTGTGGTGTAGCCCTGGGGTCATTGTTTTCCTGATTTTAGGGATGTAGCAAGTCCTGGAGGTTCCACAGTCCTTCTGTGGCTGGCCGGCTGGCTGCAGCATGCCTGGTCTCCCTAGAGATTGCTACTCACCCCTATCTTGCTGAGCAGGGATTCTGAAAGGGCAGTAGTCAGGGCAGCCACAGCCCTGCAGGTCCCTGTGTGCCTTCTCTGTATCCCCACAGGCTAGGGCAGGACCCAACAGGGAACTGTGCTTGCCAGTACCTTACTGAAAACTGCAGGTGAGCCTAGAGTCTGGCCTGGAGAAGGCGCAAAGGACCCGCATCCTGCCATGCTCCTCCCCACCCCTGCTCTGTGTGTCTCTGGCTGTGCCTGTCTCCTCAGTCTTGCATGGGCTTTCTGACTCTCCTGTATGAAACATGCTGTTCAGGCAGGAGGCATGGTCCTTGCAGGGCAGGCCCTGAGCCTGCTGTGGGCTGCACTTGGCTGCAGGGGTTTGCTTCACAGCACACTGCAACACTGCTAGGGGGTAGGGAGGAGGGTCCTGGGGTGGGGGACCAGACAGCATATCCACTCAACCGTCATCCCAGTGTCCCAGGCAGTCCAGTCTCAGGGTTCCAGCTGCCTCTGAATGTGTATCACCATGGCCAGAGTCTCCTGGACTCTTGCCACAGGACTGATATATCTGGAAGCGTGTCTTCATGAGGTAGGAAAGGCTGATCTTACCAGAATTAGAATCAATGAGTGTTTGTGTTTTACTATTTCTGGAATGTGGAGTATAGAGGGTACCAGGTGGGACCTGTTAGACTGAACCTGTACTCACTTCCGTGCTGCTTTTTGGAAACCGGTCCTTGTATAAGAGGGGACAGTGATTGGATCTTTGATGTGTGGACCTTGGTCACATCATGTTCTGTTGGGTAAATTTCTCCTTGGAATAACCCAGAGAAGTTCAGTGAATTTTAATATTTTTCTTTTCTGGGCAGAGAGGCCTCCGTCTGCAACTGGGTCCCCCAAAGTTTATTTGCTGAGCCTCGGCCTTCAGGGCCTTGGTGGCTGGCAGCGGAGCGTGTCCCAGCAAGGCACGCTGGGCTCCTGGCAGCCTGCACATAGTGCCATGTCTTAGGGTCGGGGCTGAGCAAAATCCTCCTGGAGGGAAAGTGAGTTGGTCCAGCCTCAGGAAGCTGGAGAGGCCATCTGGCTCCAGTGACATGGAGGGGACCAGACATCCAGGCGATTTGGAGGGTCTGTTCGTCCCTCTGTCTGGCAGGTGGAAGAGTGTGCCCACCAGGAGGGACTCCATCTGGACAGCTGAGAGGGTGGTGTCTCGCTGGCTCAAGGCTGCTGGGCTGTGATGGTTTGGATTGTCACTGATGTGCTTTTGTTTTTGTTTTGTTTTCTCTCCTTACTTCTGGGCTCATTCTCACCTTTTTCTCTCTCCCCATTCTCTCCTCTCCCTCCCTTATCCCCACCCCTTTCCTCCCCTTCCTACCCATCCTCATTCTCTACCTTCCCTGCCTCTTCTCTCGGTTTCTGTTTTGTTGTCTCTCAGCTGGAGGTTCTGCACTACCGACTCAGTGTCTCCAGCGCCCTCCACAGCCCTGCCCAACCCAGCCTCCAGGCCCTCCACGCCTACCAAGTACTGGCCGTTATCATTTTGTTCTGTTTCACCCCTGCTCTGCGGTGTAAGCCACAGAGCTCATGTCAGTGCAGTGGTAAAGCAAAGGTCTGACTGGGGGCTTGCTGGGGCGATTCAGAAATTAGTTCTAAGCAGAGTAAGGCGTGTGTGTGTGTGTGTGTGTGTGTGTGTGTGTGTGTGTGTGTGTGTGTGTGTGTGTGTTGGGTCAGGCTTCAGAACAGCCCAATCTCCAGCTTTGCAGTCTAGCCTGGCCTTGGGGTGTGTGGTCATGTGCCAGGGAGCAAGGCACAACACCATAGCTCACTGTGGGGTCGCTGAATCTACCTAATCAAGTCCCAGGCCAGCTTAGATGTCACACATTCTTGTATGTTGGAAGACTCCGTGCATGGCCGTGGTTCAGAGGTGTGAAATAATGTGGACATCTAGGTGGCCCAACTCTCCCAGGAGTGCAGGGCTGGTACTCCTTGGTGACTGACTGAGGATACAGAGGCCCTGGGGCTTGTGGGTAGTATGACTTTGTGTCTCCCCTGCCCAATCCAGTGTATGATGTCTGGGGGCAGGAAGAATGTGGGCCTTGGCCTCTCAGTACAGAGATGATGATGGTCCGTCCCTAGGCAAACTGGGGACCTGGCATATTTTGGCTTCGTGGCAACTGGTCCACTGTGGCAGAAATGAGCAGTGTGTGGATGGGTTTGAAGTCAGTGAGGTATAGTTCCGACCTGTCGGGTGCTTCACAGCCAGTGGAGTCTCCAGAGTTTGCTGATTCATGAGATGAGTGCCAGGAAATCTGGGGGGAAACATGCATCTGGAGCTGTGCTTGCGGTCGGGGGTGTGTACAGTTCCTGCTCAGTGGGAGCACACGGCATTGAATTTGGATTTGAACACAAGACCAGAAACCATGTTTTGCTGAGCTCGGGTGAGGAGCACAGCACAAAACAGGGTTCTGCTCAGGAGCAGCAGCTCAGTGAGGAGGGAAGGGAATAGTCCTTAAGGGCCAGTGTGCGCAGGTGGGGCACAGGTCTCACTTGGGTAAGAGCAGGGTCCCCAGAGAAACCTCTAGGGGAGCAGGGGTCTGACATCTCTGGGAGGCCAGTTCGGGGAAGCTGGGCCCAGGGAGAGGTGCCTCGGGATCTTGGAAAGTGTCCTTAAAAGGTGGAGGAGGCCATGTGCAGGTGTAACCACAAGTCACAGGGGGATTTGGCTCAGGAGGGTGGAAAATTGGAAGAGTTTGATTTGACAAACCTGGAGGGAAAGTAGCCTAAGCGGGTACCAGTGTGATTGCTGGGGATGTGCAGGGGGGAGCCTGGTCCAGCAACTCCGCAGGAGGGCCAGGCTTGCCAGTTCCCAGGTAGACACCACCCTGAGCCAAAGGGACGTTACTGGGATCAGGGCAAGGGACCAGACATGAGAAAGGGAGAGACCCAGGTGGCCCTGGTGTTTTATTATTATAATGAAAGTATCTTGTGCTTTTTTCTTCAAAATGATGATTCATTGCACTGGGACTTAAAAATACAGAAAAGCATTGGAAGATTACCTTGTGCCCTGTAGTTCCATCCCTAGACACAGCCACCAGGGTATGTCACCTCAGCCTTTGGAGGCATTTCCGTGGCAGGCAGGCCTGCGTGGATGGTGCCTCTGGTAGCAGCTGCCCAGCATCCTCTGTGACAGGTCTGCTGCGTCCCAGGGATGCCAGGAAGCATGGCCTGAGTGGCCTCAACATTGCTGAAGATTTGGATGAGGCTGCCAAAGCTTCTTTATAAGTTTGTTGGGGTCCCAGAGGGCCGGGGGTGAGTGTAAGGAAGGAGCTTATCAGCCTGGACACTCGAGAGCCTGAAGCTGGTGTGAGGAGGTGGGGAGCAGATCCTGCCTTCCAGTGCTGTCCTCCACCCTTCCACTGTTCCCTCAGCAACACCCCCACCCCAATACTCCATCGCCGATCAGCCGGCAAGCAGATTTTTCTCTTGGGTCTGGGTCCCAAAGATCCTACATGACCTTTGTGAACCAAAAGTTGGGCCACCAAGATGGACGGTGCTCTTGTGTTGGGGCTTGTGCTGACCTCAGGTCCATTAGCAGTGGAAGAGGGGCCACCCTGGGCTGAGTCCCGGTGAGGGGGCAGGTGTGAGGGTGGATGTTGCAGTTGCTGAGGGCCCTGGCACGCTGTCTGCCCACACTCAGGAGGTAGGCAGAAACCCTGAGTCCAGTTTTAGGGTGGGGTGCAGGCCTGCTTCTAGGACCAGGGTTGGCGGCGGTGACCCAGTGACCTGAGTCACCCACAGAAGGAATAAAGTGGGATTTGTTGTATGCAGGGAAGCACCTGGCAGATTTGTCTGTTTCGGGGAGCTGTCTGGGGTGCATTACAGGCTTCACTGCTGCTTAGCAGGTCTCAGCCTGAGCAGGGCAAGGTTCCCTGCCAGGGGCCAAGCACCGGAAAGGTCCAGAGGGACCCACTTGCTGATCTGCACATCCTGTGAGGAGAGGGGGACGGGTGGGTCCTGGCCAGTCCTGGGACCTGACCACTTGGCCCTGATGCTGCCGCCCTCTCCACCTTAGGAGTCATTCACACCCACAGAAGAACACGTACTGGTTGTACGCCTGCTGCTCAAGCACCTGCACGCCTTTGCCAATAGCCTGAAGCCAGAGCAAGTTTCTCCCTCTGCCCACTCCCACGCCACCAGCCCCCTGGAGGAATTCAAACGGTGGGTACAGGTGCATGTGTAGGGCTCCCAGCCTCTGGCGCCTTCCTGGTAGATGCACAAATACTGCTCCATTGACTTTCCCCCAGGGAGGGGGCGGGCTGGGTTAGGTCAGTGAGGCAGTGCAGGAGGGGACAGTGAGTCTGTTCACTCCTACCCCTACTCTGGCCCCCAGTCTCGGCTCTAGAGGTGGCTGGGGCTGCCTGACTGCTTTTCTGGCTGCCTCTCCAGCTTGCCTTCTGCAGTGGAGCGAGCCAGCCTGGTCTGGGAGTGCCTTCACAACGAAGTGGCTCAGTTGTCAGGTTGCTCTGTGCTGGCTCCTTCCTCCTCCTTTCTTCCTCTCCCCAGCTCCCTCCTCTGTCAGGAGGAGAGCTGGCGATGACAGAACAGGCAGCTTGAGTGGGGCAAGCTGAGATGAGGTGCACATAGGAGCCACACTGGATCAGCCTCAGAAGCACTCTGCGTCCTTGGGACATTCCTTGTCTTTTCTGAAGGGCCTTATCTGGTGGAAGGATTCTGTTTTCTCGAGTTTCCTCTGAAGGATGGAGCTAGAAGTAGGCCTTAACCCTAGAGGTTGCTTGGTGCTCACCCTGGCAGAGCCAGTCTTTGCAGATGGGAGCTTCTAGGCTGGCCTGCAAGGTGACCCTCCTCCTCCTCCCCCTGCAGTGCTGCCGTCCCCAGGTTAATTCAGCAGAAGCTCTATCTCTTCCTGCAGCGGCCACTGGCCCCTCGACACGTCATTCAGAGCCGAGAGTGTTGTCCCATCTCATCTCGCTCTCGCCTCTGTGACCTGTCCCATCTCATCTCGCTCTCGCCTCTGTGACCTGTCCCATCTCATCTCGCTCTCGCCTCTGTGACCTGTCCCATTTCATCTCGCTCTCGCCTCTGTGACATCGGCCTATGGGCAGATGTGGGAGGGAACTGGCTGTTCCCTCAGAGCTTCTGAAGCCTGTTTGAATTTCCAAGGCCAACCTTCGGATACAGAACCTTGCTCATGGGTTCCTACTCCCTTTGAGCTATACTCAGCTCCCTCAGCTGGGAGAAGTGAGCTCAGTAATTTAATTCTTGCTTCCAGGGCTGAGGTGAGGGCGAGATGGCATCAGGGTATGACCAGAAACTTTTGTGCCCTCATGGGGTGGGTGGGGCTGCGGGAAGAGGTCAGAATCTGGCAGCACACCAGGGAGCCTAACCCTAGGCTGCCCAAGGATTTGGTCCAAAGCACCATTGCTCACCTGCGTGCCAGTCACCACACCCTCAGGGCACACATCTCACCAGGTGCTGGAGATGTGGCTGAGCTACCTGCAGCCCTGGTGGTATGCACCTGAGAAGCAGACTCAGAGCAGCGACAGTCAGGCCCGGGCTGTGTCGGAGAGATGGTGAGCCTCGCCACCCTGTCCCCACCCAAGGGGCCTGAGTGGGACCTCCTGAGGCTCCTTTCCAAGGTCCTGCTGGCCAGGAGCACAGGCTGCCCTTTCTGAACCATGCTGTGTTGCTCCTGGGCTCTGGCACCGATCTCCTGCAGAAACAAACCATCAGTGGCTGTCTTTCCCTCTGTCCTGGCCCCATTCCCTTTGACTGTGTGCTCGCATTCAGCCCCCCAGCTCCCCTGAACCCTTCCTCACCAGCTGTGATAGAGCCCCCCAGCCTTCCATCGGCACCTCCTCCTTGAGTGCCTTCCCCTATGAACCCCTACGATACCAGGGCCAGCCTCCACCACAGCAGCCTTGGTCTTCTCAGGCTGAGCCTCACTCGGCGGAGGAGGCCATTTTTCTTAGGGGTCTGAGGTCTCTCCTGCCTCTTTCCTACCTCCCCTGCCGACATCCAGACCCCTCAGCCGCCATTGCTCACACCTTCATGAGATGGATGCTGGGGAGATTCTGAGACCTAATGAAGTGTCCTGGGCTGTGACCCTGCCCTCAGTGGTAGGTCTGGCCCTGACATACTGCCCCACTCCCAGGGCACCCTTTGTGCAGGAAAACCTACTGATATACACCAAGCTTTTTGTGGGCCTCCTGGGCCGTGCACTCCGTACTGACCTGGTCAGTCCCAAGAACGCACTTAATGGTGTTCCGAGTGGCCAAAGTCTTTGTCCAGCCCAACCTGGCTGAAATGATCCAGAAAGGTGAGCTCTTAGCTGGTTGGAAGCAGTGCTCAGAGAGGCCCCCATGAACCTAGGAGGGTGGTGTGGGGTTCCTGGTGCGGAGTAGCAGAGCAGAGGGCTGATTCTGGCTGCATCCTGTCTTCCCCATGGCTTGTAGGCTGGGCTGAGGGATTGCAGGTGTGCCATCAAGGAGGAGAGGCATCTTGGTCCCTGTCACATTTGTCTTAGCCAGCTTTGTTGGGTACTGGCTTATCTTTGAGTTTCAGTTTTCCATTTGTACTGGCTAGGGCTCCAGGAGCATCAGGAGCTTTCTCCTGTGCGGCACAGCCCCAACCCCTTAGAAACCTCCCCATTTGCTCTCTAGCTCATGAGATTTGACCTGATGAGGCAGGAGAAAAGCAAGAGACAGGCACACTGGCCAACTTCACCTTTCTTTCATATTTTCAAGGCAGAATTTGTACTCAGGACCAACCCCCTGCTTGTGCAGAGGAGACTTAAGGGACTGTAGACAAGTAAGCCCACAGGAGCTCTGGAGAGCACTGTAGAGTCCCCTCTCAGGTCAGCGACTCACCCCTTTAAGAGACACAGTAAAACTACCCTCAAGATGATGCCAAACCAGGATTCCAGACCACAGACCTGAACAGTAGACAAAGAGGGGCAAGCACTCCACCGTGCTGCCCCCATGCCAGTCTGAGACTCTCTAAACCACCAAATTTCCCCCTCCTCCCACCCTCCCAACCTCCCTCCACTATTCCATTCCTGTTCTGATGTTCTAAAAATTCTATTAAGTGGAGAAAGTAAATGATTTTTTAAAAATTTATTATTTATGCATTCAAGAACTGGGGTACAGGCCAGAGGTGTGGGGGTGAGTGGGTGAAAGGATTCACCAGAGAGAGTGGGGAGCAGAACAGGCAGATCTACACTGCTGGGGAGCAGTGGATGAGACAGGAGAGGTCTGCTGCACCATGTAGGATGCTCCCTGGTCAGCCAGGGATCAAACTCATGCAGCAGTGGCTGGCAATAGCTTGAAAGTGCTGTCTTTAATCCCTACGCCACCAAGGAAGCCCTATTATGTTGTCTTTTATTGATTTATTGGCGCTCTTTACATATTCTGGTTGTGAGCCATTTATCAGATATGTCTTGCATGTATCTATTCCATCTGTGACTTGCCTCTTCACTCTCTCAATGGTGTCTTTTGAAAAACAAAAATTCTTAATTTTAATGTAGTCCAATTTCTCAATATTTTCCTTTAGAGCATCTGCCTTTTGTGATCTGTTTGAGAAATTTTTCCCCACTCAAGGTCATACAAATAATTTATCTTCTCATGAAATTTTCCTTTTTAACATTCATATTTAAAGCTACATTGTCGGGCCTCCCTGGTGGTGCAAGGGTTAAGCATAGCACTGTGAAGCAGTCGGCAGTGGCCAGATTGCTACCCACGTGGTGCAGCAGACCTCTCCTGTTTTGCCCACTGCTCCCCCAAGCAGCATTTCATTCAGTCTGCCTGTTCTGTTCCCCACTCTGTCTCTGATGAATCCTCTCACCTCTGCACCTCTGGCCTGTACCCCAGTTCTTGTATGCATAAATAAATAAATCTTTTTAAAAAATAAAGCTACATTGTCTCTGGAGCTGATTTTTGTACTTCGAAAAAGTTAGTTTCGAGATGTGCCTTTTTACACACAGTCTGTCAATTGACATAGACAAGTTCATTTTATTTTATGTTTAAAAAGATTTATTTATGCATACAAGAACTGGGGTGTGGGCCAGAGGTGCAGGGAGTGAGAGGATTCACCAGAGTGAGTGGGGAACAGAACAGGCAGATCCACTGAAATACACGGCTGATGGGAGCAGCGGGCGAGACAGGAGAAGTTGGCTGCGCAATGTGGATTGGGATCCAACTAGTGCAGCAGTGGCTGGCAATAACTTGATCGTGCTGTGTCTTTAACCCCTGCGCCACCAGGGAGGCCCCAACCGGTTCATTTTAAAATGTGTTTTTATCATTAGTCTACAGAGCTTCCTTTCAGTAGATCCTGTGTCCACATAAGTGTGAGTCTGTTTTAGGGCTCTGATCGTTGCCATTGGTCTAGCGTCTATTCTTGTTTCAATATTACTGTCTTAATTCCTGTAGCTCTACATTAAACTCTATTCTATAGAGTAGTTTCTTCTATTTAGATCACCTTTATTTGGTTTTCATGGCTTCATGGTCCATTGAGTTGTTTTTTTGTTTTGTTTTTTTTTTAAGATTTATTTATTTATTTATACAAGCACTGGGTACAGTCAGAAGCGCGGGAGGGTGAGAGAATTCACCAGTGCCAGAGCGGAGAGCAGAACAGGCAGACTGATGAAGTACACTGCTGAGGGGAGCAGTTGGCGGCAGGAGAGGTCTACGTGCCATGTGGAACCCTCGCCCGGCAGCCGGGGATCAAACCGGCACTGCAGAGGCTACGGGCAGCTTCGCAGCCCAGCGTTCAACCACTGCGCCCCTGGGGAGGCCCCATGGTCCATTGAATCTTATATAAATTTTAGAGTCAGACTGGCAGGTGAAGTGTGGAAAAATGGACATTTAAGAGACATAGAGAGCTGGCCTGGAGAAGAGTATCGTGTGGATCCACACCACAAAACTCTGGCACCCACAACACAACAGGAAGTCAAATTTCTGTGTGTAGTGGAGGTGATCCTTTGGTGCCCATTGGCCTGGTCCTGCTACCCCTCCCTGGCATCAATTCCCGGATTACTGCAACGGGTACAAAGACAATAGTTGAAAATATATCCCTATTAAAAATCATAAAAATTGAAAATGAGACAGAAGACCACATCAGAAATGCCAGAGCAAAAACAAACAAAAACAAATAAAATCCTAAAAGGATCACCAACGGAGTGGAATTATGGAGCATAACAGAAGGGGAATTCAGGGCAACAGCTCAAGCAGCTTAAAAAAAAGTGAGGCTATAAACAACAGAATAAAGATAAGAAAAATATGAAGCAGCCGCAATTAGAAATAATGGAGCTGAGAAATACTATAGACAATCTAAAACATACAATGGAGGGTCTCAATAGCATGCAAACAGAATGAGTTTGAAAACACAATGATAGAGAACAAAAGAATAAATGTTGATACAAAATAATTTTAAAAATGGAAACAGCATAAGACCTTTCTGGGACAATTTAAAGAGAAACAATATCCACATATGCATGTCCCAGAAGGAGAAGAGGAAGAGAAAGAAAAAATAATTTAAAGAAATAATCATTAAAAACCATCTAAGCCTGGGAAATGAACAAAATATTGTGATCCAAGAGACCCAAAGTGTTCCAAACAAAATAATGACAGGGCCTCCCTGGTGGCGCAGGCGTTTGAGTGCAGCGCTATGGAGTTCTCCACAGCCTCTGCAGTGCTGGTTTGATCCCCACCAGCCTTGGAACAACCCAGATGGTGAGCAGACCTCTCCTGTCTCACCCGCTGCTCCCCTTAGCAGTATTTCAGTCATCTGCCTATTCTGTTCCCTGCTCTGTCTCTGGTGAATCTTATCACCCTCCCATGCATCTGGCCTGTACCCCGGCTCTTGTATAAATAAAATCTAAAAAAATAATAATAATAATGACAGACCTACACCAAGACACATAATAAAGCCACTGAGAACCAACAACAAGGACAGAATATTAAAAATATCGAGAGAGAAAAGGGTAATCTATAAGGGAATCATAATGTCAGCAGACTTTTCAGCAGAAACATTACAAGCATGAAAGGGGTGGAGTTATTTAAAGTACTTGAAGACTTCCATCATATATTCCTTTACCCAGTAAGGTTAACATCCAAGGCTAAAGGATGAGCAAAGAACTTCACTGATAAGCAAAAACTAAAAATAATTTATCAACACTGAGTTGCACATGAAAGAAATTCATCCTGAAGGATGGATATTGCTATTACCAAACAATACAATGACAAATATCGAGGCAACAGACACTTAAATCACTTAACATGGAGGAGGAAAGAAGGAGGAAAGAAACAATGTGGCTCAACAGAACCAGACAGACACCAGCCTGTCAAAGGGGTCACATAAATAGCCATCCTACCACAGGAGATCCGGTAAACAAAAGTTAATAGAAGTAACACATAAAACAATGGAAACACAACTTAAGTAAAATATAACAGAAATTTCTTAAATAAAAAAGACAAGACAGGGGCCTCCATGGTGGCCTAGGGGTTAAGTCTCAGTTCTGTCACTACTACAGCCTGAGTTCCATCCCCAGCCAGGGAGCTGACCCATATATGGTGCAGCAGACCTCTCTTGTATGTCTGCTGTTCCCCTTAAAAGGTGTATTTCAGCAAATCTGCCTGTGCTGCTCCCCACTCTGTCTCAGGTGAATCCTCTCACCCCCTATACCTCTGGCCTACACCCCCGTTCTTCTACACACAAAAAAGATAAAACAAAATGACAATGAGCACTTTTGTATCAATAATCATCGTAAATGTAAACAGTCCAAATTCACCAATCAAAAGATGTAGCATCGGGCCTCCCCGGTGGCGCAACAGTTGAGCGCTGGGTTGCAAAGCCTCTGCAGCACCAGTTGGATCCCTGGCCACTGGTCGAGGGTCCCACATGGCACGTAGATCTCTCCTGCCACCCGCTGCTCCCCTCAACAGTGTACTTCCTCTGCCTGTTCTGCTCTCCACTCTGGCTCTAGTGAATTGTCTCACCCTCCCGCGCTTCTGACTATACCCAGTGCTTGTATAAATAAATACATAAATCTTAAAAAAAAAGATGTAGCGTCACTGAATGGATTTCAAACAAAGTCCAACCATCTACTGTTTACAAGAAACTCATCTTACTAACAAAGACAAGCATAGACCTGGAGTTATAGATTAGAAGACAATTATGCAAGCAAATAGCAACTAAAAAAAAAAATAAGGAACAGCTACACTTATATCTGATAAAACAGACTTCTAATTAAAAATAGGAAGATAGATATGAACATCATATTATGATTAAGGGCCTAGTACAGTAGGGAGAAATAGAACTCAAAAACACAAACGCACAAAATGGTGGAACACTGAGATACATAAAATAGCTAATAACATAATTTATGAGAGTATTGATAGCAACACAATAATATTAGGGTACCTTAATACCCCACTTACAACAATGGACAGATCAACAAGAGAAAGCATAAGTGAGGAAAGAACAACTTCGAACAAGGAGCTAGACCAAATAGGTCTAACAGGTATCTACAGAATACCCCACCCAAACTCTGCTGCATAAAGTGCCCATGAACATTTTCAAGAATGGACCATTCTTGGGATACAAGGCAGTTGAGGATAAAAACACAAAGATCGAAATAATACCTAGGGCCTCCCCTGGTGGCGCAGTGGTTGAGCGCTGGGCTGCGAAGCTGCCCGAAGCCTCTGCAGTGCCGGTTTGATCCCCAGCTGCTGGCGAGGGGCCCACATGGCGTGCAGACCTCTCCTGCTGCACCCATTGCTCCCCTCAGCAGTGCATTTGGTCAGTCTGCCTGTTCTGTTCCCCACTGTGGCTCTGGTGAATTCTCTCACCCTCCCACACTTCTGACTGTACCCAGTGCTTGTATAAATAAATAAATCTATCTTTAAAAAATAATAGTAACACCAAGTATTTTCTCTGACCATAATGCTATAAAATAAGAAACCAACTACAAGGAAAAAATAAAACAACAACAGGAAAAACTCTGAGTACATGGTGACTAAACAACACGCTGCTGGGTAAAATAGAAAATCAAAGTAGAAATTAAAATAAAATACCTTAAGATGAATTGAAACTGTGATACAAGCTACCAGAATCTATAGGGTATAACAAAAGCAGTCTTAAGAGGGAAGATAGTTGCAATACAGGTTCACATTGAAAAGTAAGAAATATCCCAAATAACAAATCTAATATTACACTTAAACTTGAAAAAGGAATAAACAAGACCCCAAATTAGTAGAAGAAAGTAAATGAGATAGAAATTTTAAAAAGACATATAAAAACCCAGTGGAACTAAGAGCTGGTTCTATGAGAAGATAAATAAAAGATAAACCTGAATATAAGACCTGAAATCATAAAATATGTAGAAGAAAACATAGGCAATACATTCCATGACATACACCTCAGCAACATCTTTGAGGACTCATCTCCAGAAGCAAGGAAAACAAAGGAGAAGATAAACAACTGTAACTATTTCAAACTAAAAAGCTTCTGTACAGCAAAAGACAGTAACCAAAACAGACATCTACTGAATGTGCGAAAACATTTGCACACCATACAACTGATAAGGAACTGATAACAAAGATCTACAAAGACCTCACTCAACAAAAACAAACGAACCAATGAAAAAAATGGGCAAGACAGCTAAAAAGATACTCTCCAAAGAAGGAATGCAAATGGTTAACATTTGCATCACTTATTATCATTAACATTTATTATTATCATTAACATTTCAACATCACTTATTATCAGGTAAATGCAAATCAAAACCACAATGAGATACCAGTTCACACCGGTGAGAATGGCCCACATTGAAAAAAAAAAAACTAGAAACAACAAATGCTGGGGAGGATGTGGAGAAAAAAGGACACTCTTATATTGCTGGTAGGGGTGTAACCTGGTCCAGCCACTATGGAAGGCTATGAGGGAGTTCCTCAGAATACTAAACATGGATCTACCATATGATCCAGTTATTCCACTCCTAGGAATCTACCCAAAGAACAGAAAAACTACTTCTATATTTTTTGCAATATTATTTACAATAGCCAAGATGTGGAAACAACCTAAATGCCCCCAAACAGATGAGTGGATCAAGAAGATGTGGTATATATACACAGTGGAATACTACTCAGTGATCAAAAAAGATAAACTCCTGCCATTTGCAGCAACATGGATAGAATGGAAGGGATTATACTAAGCGTAAACAAGTCAGAAGGAAAAAGATAAGTATTGGGTGGTTTCACTTATAGTTGGAATACAGGGAACCAAATAAAGGGCTAGGAAAAGACAAAACTTGCAAACTGACCACAGATCTGAAGCACACAGCGGGGGAGGAGGAGGGAGAGGAGTCAAGCAGGTGAGGGAAGAGCACAAGGGAAAGAAAACAGAATCCCAAATGAAAGAGGAAACATCACTATAGGTAGCACAGAAATACAAAAGATCATCAAAGATTACTATGAACAACTGTATGACATGAAATTTGGTAATCTTGAATAGACAAATTGCAGTCAACATAATGTACCAAGACTAACCCAGAAAGAAACAAATGAATTGAAGCCCAGAAATTAAAAGTCATGAAACTTCTGGAATCAGGCTGTTACTCGCCTTTCCTGCACAGGCTCCCTCATGCCTGAGTCTGTTA